AAAATGTGGTGATGAGTATGCAGCTCGGGGTGGAATCTGAGAGCAACTTTGCATATGTGCTAATTTTCCTGCAGGATTTTCAAGGAGAAACTTGAAAATAAATGGTAACATCTTCCTAAGGGCTCTGCTGTACAGAGATGAGGACTGGGAGCTAACTATGAAAGCTTAGCTTGGTTAATTTCCAGAGAAGTGTTAAATTGGGGGAGATCTAGAGAGAATCCAGCAGCAAAGAGGCCTCCCACCCCAGAGGAAGGCGCAGTGCAGAAATACAGGAAAGGAAAAAACCACCTCTTGGGCACAGCCTTCCCATTGTATTGCAGCAAGTACAGCACATTTTACTTTCTTCTCTGCCTGTCCAGGCAGCTCTGTGGCACTGGCCATGTCCATGATCACTGCTGCCCTCCAACCCTCTCCGATTCCCCCCTCACCCTTCCCCTCGCTGAGGGCAGTAGCTCTTGCCAGGCACATTAAGCAGCTGGCAAAGCAGCCACACGACAGCAAGGGGTTCTGATCACGGGGCAGCAGCCTCAGTTATTTCTTTGCAAGACCTCTGAGGGGTGAATGGCATTTAATAGTGATGCTTTGCTGATAAAAGTCACAGGAGCCTGATGCAAGACAGAGCTCTGGACCCCAGGCTCCCACCAGGCTCTGCCATCTCCTCTGGATGGCTCTGTGGGAAGGGGCCAGCTCTGGGTTCTCCTACTCACAAATGTCACTTAAAATCAAAAAAACCTCAATCTCTTAATCTCAAAGTTGTGCTTGGAAGACACACATGGCCTGTGCCATTGAAGCAGAGCATAAGGGTCAAAGGCTGCGAGACCCTCCCAGCTCCATGGCCAGCACAGAGGGTGCCCCAGGAGGAAGGTTCTAGAGGGCTGTCCCTGGCTGCAGCCCACCCCACTCTCCTCACATCCCCACATCCTGGCAGCACAGCCAGCTACCACCTGCCAGGGACTTTATCAGGCATCCGTATTTGAACACTTTATTCAAGAAGCTGAAATGGGAGGGGAGTTTCCTGGTACTTCAGGGGACAAGCAAAGATATTAATTAACTTGAGGAATTAAAATACTCAAACACACAATCTTTTGGGCATTGACTACAACCAGGCACAACCATCTCATCTCTTTCTGCTGTGTGGAAGCTGACTGGTACCTTTCCAGCAGTGTCCTCTGATCCTCAGCTCACAGAACGCAGGGAGCTCATTAAGGCATTTTCTCATTTGGGCACCTGCACGAGTCAATATCTCCAGGTCAGCTACTCAGATCAGCCCTGTCCTGACGTGACTCCTGGACTGAAGAGCAGGACCTGGCAGTTTCACAGGGATGAAAAGGAGACCAAAGGCGTAGCAGATATATCGGAAAAAGCCAGGGATACACAAAGCACATAAAACAAGGGCAGCATTTTGCTGAACATCATGTTAGAATAAAAAATCAGCTGCAAACACTCAGATTCTTCTGTCATTTTTCCTCTACATTTGCCCTTGGAAATAATACCACTTAATATTGCACGACTGACATAAAATTATTTTTTATTCCTGGCAAAGTAGTGGAGAAGGAAAGAAGAGTTACTGGTGAATAACCAAGGTATTTGGAGGAGGAGATGAGAGAGTGATTGGAACTGACTATTCGTGTTTGGCAAGATAAAAACATCCCCCTTTCATACGCTGTTTCCTTCTATTTTCTCACAGAGAAATGTCTTATTTCACATGCACAAAGGAGCCAAGATTTCAGTGCCTGGCACAAAGGCTGCAGATCTTCCTCGGCTGCGCTAGAGAGGCAGCAGATAAATCCCCTTCATCTGGAGGCTCTGGCTCAGGGAGGGGAAGGGGCTGCTGACCAAAGCAAAGCATGCCAACCCCAGGCATTCCCAGCACTGGGAGCAGCCTGGGATTGCTGGTTTCCAGTTCTCACCAGCTCCAGGTGTGAGGCTCAGTGTGCTCAGCTTGCTCTGCACACCCCAGTGCCCAGAAAAAAGCTTCACTTTCCCCCATAAAGTTCAAGTCAATTCAAAATGAAAAGTTCTGCTCTGTGCAAAGAGTTCACTGACATTGTGTTTTGATCAGGTGCTTTGATAGTCATAGCGATTTTTTTTTCCAGTCAAAAAGCTGAAACAAAGAAGCTTTAGGGATTTAATGAAAAACTATTTGAAGAAAATTTAGTCTTCTGAAGTTCTGATTTTCCTTAGGAAAAGAATCAGTTTTGACCCTGCAGTGCTTCCTAAAAGAAGAAGGGAGAAAAAAAGGTGTGACAACTGTGACTGGCTACATTTTAAGTAGGAAGAAACAGTGAATTTTACATTCCTGCCATTAACTAATTGGCTTGCAGCGAGGAAGGGCTGGCAGGATAGAGCTCAGGTGCTTCCAACACCACCGATTTGTACAAGAACAGTCACGTTGTGAATCCTGATGTTATAAAAGTGAATATTCTGACCACAGGCTCGATCTGCTCGTCTGGCCAGGGAAGGGAGCACCTCATGAGCAGGTGCCTGGCAGAACAAACCACCTCCTCCTGGCAGATGCTCAGACCAAACTCCTGTGCCAGAGAAAGGATTATTTTCAAAATTCTTCTCCAATAATATTCCATTATGAATGTACATGGGGAAATCACATACTACTTGTCCAACACCTGGCTAGAAAAAGAGGCCAAGTTCACCTTGTGACTCACCTTGTGATTATTTGCTCAAAGGCACCCAGCACTCTGAAACCTCAGGGCAGTTCTCAGCCCTCTCCCTGTGTCTGCGGAGCCAGGGCATGAGGAGGATTTGTGTCACACTCCAGGGTGGTGGCACAACAGATGCTCCAAGTGCCCAGACTGCCATGGCAGACACTGCAATGCTGCAAGAAGAGGCACCTTCAGCCCCTGGGCCATGGAGGAGACCCCAGCTGTGACTGGATTGTCCCTGTCCATCCCATCCCACCTCTCTGCTCTGCTCCTGCAGCCAGGAGGGTTAGGTAGGGGATGACGTTATGGTGCCAAATGGCTACAGCATCTGCTGGGAATTCACAGGGGATGCCAAATGAGCACAACACCTCACACTGGAAATATACAACAGAAAACCGTGTTGTTTTCCACATTTCAAAAACGTCTGCTGTGAATTAATGATTCGGTTCATACCTACAATTACAGGCACAGAAGGAAAGGGATTGGCTGAGCACCCACAGCTCACCAGTCACTGCTCCTGTTTCTGCAGCAATGCTTCTGCCTCCTGTGGACAGAACCTGGCACCCGCATCACCCGCTCTCAGGATCTGGAAGGTGGCCCTAAGACTGTAGCCTTGGATTTCCCAGTGGCTGCCAGGGATCTTTGCTGCACACCGAGGGCAGCCAGAGGAGCTATTACAGGAGATGTCGCCCAAACAGACACATCAATGCCTCACAAGGAAACGTGTGGTGCTGTTCCCATGGTTTAGCAATGCAGCACAGCATCCTTGGATACTCCACTTTGATTACAATTCTCGTGTATCTCCACTGGCCACACTGGGGCAAACATCTCCCCTGCATAACCCATTGCTAAACATTCAAATCAGAGCAAAAGTTTGGGGAAACTTCATCTTCAAGGTCTCTTGGCACAGATTCTGGTTTTGCTGACACTCTTAGTGTATTCTAAACCAGGGACAAGACACAGCTCAGCCAAGGAGCCCCCATGAGGGCACAAGTCCCTTATCTCCAGGTTCTCCACATTCAGCCCTTCTCCTCCTGGAGCCCTCCAGGGGAGACTGGACCATTTCCCACCCCAAGGAGCAGGTGCCCAGACACAGGCAAGCAGGGGGTTTCCTTTCTTGAAGGACTGCACAGCAGTATATCCCTCAGCAATTTCCTCAACTGTTTAATAGGAATTTATTTAATTTTGTTTTGAAGATAGGCAGTGCTTTTAATTGTTGTTCTAACACGTCTCTATTAATATATTCTTTCTAATTGTTTATTGCTTGCCTACCTCTTCAGTGCTTAAACATATTCACAAATACTAATCTATTCTCTGCACAATCACTGATTCCTACTCAGCAAAGCACAGTGCAGCACATTTAATATAAAAACTTGAGTGCATTTTGCTGAATTCTTAATTGATCTCCTTGCTAACTATATTTCTTTGAAAACCAGCTTTCAGTCCCAACCAAACTGCAGCCTGACTTTGCAAATTTAGACATGGTTTTGCTGACACTCTTAGTGTATTCTAAACCAGGGACAAGACACAGCTCAGCCAAGGAGCCCCCATGAGGGCACAAGTCCCTTATCTCCAGGTTCTCCACATTCAGCCCTTCTCCTCCTGGAGCCCTCCAGGGGAGACTGGACCATTTCCAGTCCCCAAGGACTGCTGCCCAGACACAGGCAAGCAGGGGGTTTCCTTTCTTGAAGGACTGCACAGCAGTATATCCCTCAGCAATTTCCTCAACTGTTTAAAAGGAATTTATTTAATTTTGTTTTGAAGATAGGCAGTGCTTTTAATTGCTGTTCTAACATGTCTCTATTAATATATTCTTTCTAATTGTTTATTGCTTGCCTACCTCTTCAGTGCTTAAACATATTCACAAATACTAATCTATTCTCTGCACAATCACTGATTCCTACTCAGCAAAGCACAGTGCAGCACATTTAATATAAAAACTTGAGTGCATTTTGCTGAATTCTTAATTGATCTCCTTGCTAACTATATTTCTTTGAAAACCAGCTTTCAGTCCCAACCAAACTGCAGCCTGACTTTGCAAATTTAGACAGAAGAAAAACCAGACATGCAGTAGACAGCATTGCAGGGACATCGTTTACAGAGTCAGATACCACCAGTAAAAAGAGTCTGTTGAATCTCTAGTTTCCAGAGAGGAACTTTAACTGCTGGTGGTAGCTCCTCGCTGGGAATGAAGGAGCTGATGGACCCTGTGAAACATGCAGCCCAAGAGGCAGCAACAGAGCAGCCCTGGCCTGATGGAGCAATCCCAGCCCAGTGGAGCAATCCCAGCCTGATGGAGCAGTCCTGGCCCAACTAGCAGAGCTGCCACGAGCATCTTACCTCGTAATGGGCCACGCGCTGGGACTCCGATATCAGCTGAGCGCTGCACACTTTGCAGTAACTCTCCGTGAATAACTCCTGGTCAATGTCTGATGATTTCATCTGTTCAGGACAGAGAGGAGAGAACAAATTAGTTACAAAAGGTAAAGCAGAGCAGGACATGTTTGATGAGGGTCCCTACAGAGACCTGGGCAAAGCAATGCTTGAGTAGATGGGCTCTTGTCACCACGAGGGAACACAATCAAATTTATCAAGGTGCAAATGTCAAACAGCTCCCTGTGCTGCTCTGCAATAACATTCCAGGTGTGAGCTGCAGTTGTAAATGTCTCTTCTTCTCCATTACCTCCCATAACTAGAAACACCACGTACATAACCAGCTATAGCAGAGATCACTCACAACCCAAAAGACACTGAACCATTTATTATACGAAGTGAGTGAACTGATAAAGGTTTTCTACAAAACACAACCTGGAGGAAGGTGGTGTTAAACTGGAAGGGTGCTCTGCTCTATTTCTCAATCTAGACATGGAAGGAAATTGCTTGAGTGATTTACTGGTTGTGCTGTTCTCAAGCAGCTGTTTAAGTATTTGTGTGTTCCCCACAACTTCCAACCAGGACACCTGCACTTACACCAGCTGGCTCAGTGATCTGGTTCTCAGGAATATTTTCATTCTGTGTTCACACCTTCCTCATTTTGCAAGCAATTGCAGGTATCCAACTCTGAACTGATAGCCATGGTGCATAAACCAGGGCTGAGTTTTATAAATGGCTGAACCCAGGCAGAGCCAGAAGACACCTGAAGTAGATTCATACACAAGATATTTAAAACCAAACCAAACCAAAACCCCACCAGTGCAATTGAAGAGGGAAATAGAGGACAATACTTTCTGACTAACACAAAGATAAAGTCTATTAATTCACAACCATAACAAACCTGGGCATAATGAAGACTAATACAGTTTTTATAGAGTTTATTCCACTGATTAGGAAGAAAAACAACGTGGAAATGAACAAATTATGAGATCTCATCAGCACGAAAGCCCTGCTGTGGAGGAAGGGCTGTCATTGCTGGGCTGCACAGCAGGGCTCAGGGCAGTGCTGGCCCCACACAGGGCTGGGGACATCCCACACCTGTGGACACCACCCTGGGCCAAGGGTGCTGGCTCTCTTGGGGTCAGGGAAGGAGATTTTATGTGCACATCTGTCCTCCAGCTGCAGCAGAAGCTGCCAAGCTGGACGTGGCTGCACTAAACCCCCAAACCTACCTCAGTCCCACACGTATTGAGATCCCTGCACATTTTATACAAACAAGCAGCTGAGTTGACACCAGACGTGCCCAATCTGGAGACACTGATGCACCTCGAGCTCCAGGAACAGGTTTATCTGGGTACCTGTGGTCTACCAGAGAAGGACACAAATCTCCAAACTCTGCTGCTGGTGCCCTTGCTCTCTGAGCCTGCAGAGACACTTGTCTGTTTTCTCTGCTATCTGCCTAGGTTTCATCTTCATTTCCTCTATCTAGAGAAATGCTGCATTGAGAAACTTTCAAAGACAGCAAAAGACCCTTTTAAGAGTACAAGAAGTGTTACAAAATTGCATCAAAGGCAAAATAAAGTGGAGGGAAGAAATCACTTAAACACAAGTTTGCCACAAGGCAAACTGAAGACTCATTAAAGCTCAGTCCAGGACCCAAGACAGAGGCAGGTAATATTGCCTTCATTTGCATGCTGCCTGCAATGCTCACAGTACAAACTATCTTTGCAAAAATCAGAGTAAATCAAAAGCTGCTCAGTGTTATCTTATCCCTTCATGCTCTGATAACAGATCCCAAGCCTGTTCTGGCTCTAACGTTTGTCCCCATGAAGGGAGCTCTCTGCCCCCTCATTATAGCAGCAGGAGCTAAACAGCCTTAGCCAGCAACAAGATCTCATGTCTTTTCTCTAAGCAGTAACTTCTGATACAGGTACAGAATTTGTTAGCCCCAATATTGCCTGTTGGGTTTTCCAGGCTGTTGTTACTGCACCAGGATATAATGCATCCCAACAGGTGAAGACAGTTGTTATGCTGACAACATGAGCCTTGTGCTGCACAAGTCACCATTCAGGTCACCTACTAAAGTTTCTCTGGAACGGCAGACCCTCCAATAATGCACTGAGAGCATGATTACAGGGCACATGGGCCAGGAGCATCCCTGCTGTGATGTCCCTGCTGGTGACTCAGGACCAGTGGGTCCCATCCTGCTGTACAAAGCCACAGAAATCAGTTTGGATCCTGGTAACTCCTCACCACCACACAGCTAGGCCCCTTCAGCCACAGCACCTGAGCTCTGCCCCTGCTGCCTACTCTGCTATTTCTGTTTTCCTTTCTAGGACAACACATGCAGTGCACCAAAGGGGGTGAGGCCACAAATCCATGAATGTGTCTCTGTGCCCTGTGTCCAGGGCAGGATCCCACCACCACAGTCCCTGGGGTGCTGCCAGCAGCTCTTGCCCACTCTTTCCCCCCCCCCGTTTTGCCTTGTGTCAGATACACTCTGCATTATTGTTTTGTGGGTCAATGCTATCAGCAATTAATTAAATTCTCCTGCCTACAAGTATCATAAAGGGAGTCCACAAGCAATTAAAATTTATATTTTTCTAATCACTTAATTCCACTCTGATTCTCCCTGCCTACAAGTGCCTAACAGCTCCTAGAACTGACTGGGCTGTGGCTGATCCCCCTTCCCAGCCTGGCCATCAAAAAGCACAGTGGAAGGGGAGCTTTTCTCCACAACCCCCCAACCATCAACACGTCGTGGGTGCAAAGCCCCACGTGCCTCTGAGGAGCTCAAGAAGCACAGATGCTGAGCAAGGAGGGACAAGTTCCTCACACGCTCTCAGAGGCTTTTCTTGCTGAGAGCTGAAGAATTACTGTGGAATCCACAGCCTTGCCAGCTGGACCCAAACCGTTCAGCTGAGCAGGAGCCCTTGGTCTGCACAGCAAGGTCTAATCACCAAAAGCTCTTGGTCTCCTCCTCCTCTGGGAGGACAAGAGCAGTGGGGCCTCCACCACAAACACTGACCACTGTGACCCCTTTCAGTGGGGTTCCTGCCCTGGCACCAGACTCAAGCACTGAGGCCCCCCTTCCCCCCCTGCCCCCCCGGCAGCTCAGCATCCCCAGGAATGGCAAACTGTGTCATAAGAGACTTCATTTTAAATACCTTGTGCCATATGGCTATGATTCTTCTCAGCAGTTTCAGTGACTATAACAGCTTAATGAAAATCAATTTGATGAGGCTGACTCCAGTTTTTGGCAACTGATAGAAAGATGTTAACTAAGTTGCATTGAATTCCAGAGGACAGCAGTCCACGTATTGACATCAAAGCCAAATTCCTTTTTAAGGATATGCTTTGCACCAGCTGAACCCCACCAGACATGAACATGTGCTGAACGTGTACCTTTCCCAGAGGAGAGTGATGGAAGTGCTCCTGCAATAAACAATCTTACACTCCAGAGCCAGCCAGGACAGCAGGACCTCTGAGGGACCTCGGGAAGGGCCGAAGCCCCTGCAGGACAGGGTGAGCTGCAGCAGCCCCTCACTGTCTGCAGTCACTGCCAGCAAATACTTCCAATAAATACTGCTGTAATGTCCTTCCCAGCAACTGTCCCTCAGCACAACAATTCTGGTTTCATCTCTCCATGCCCCCTGTTATCAAGTTCATTGCCCCATTTTTTTTGAGCAAAGAGCTCAGGGAATAGAAAAAGAAGTTTCTTTAATAACAGGAAATTAACGACTGTTAGCAGAGGTTCCAGAGTACACAGCAAACATGAGCACGACCAGGTTTTCTGCCTTTTAAATCACTTCACAGACTACCCTTGGTATTTTTCACTGTCAATTATTTCTGTATTTCGACAACAATAAGCAGAAAACCATGAAAACCCTGGGAAGCCGCAGATGACTCCATGTCATTCCAGGGCAGGGCGCTTGGGAATGCAGCTCCATCCCTCACTCACCAGCCTGTTGTCAGAAGCAGAAGGTTTTGCAGCTTCTCCAAATGCTCCTCCTGCGCCGCTCGCGAGCACCGGCAGATCCCGCGGCACCGAGAGCAGAGGCTCAGGAGGGAACATGTTAGATAGAGACAGCAAATGAAGGATCTAAATCTGAGATCAGAGCTCAGTCCCTGGGTGACTGTTGTCTAAACTTTACAACACGCCTCAGGTACAGGGATGAAAGTTACAGGCAGACAGCCCGGGAGGAGCCAGCTTGGCAGCTGCGCCCAGGGACCCACACACCGTCCTCCTCCTCCTCACCCAGCACAGGCCCTGCAGACCCCAGCACTTGGAGCAGAAGGTGCCAGTGGCTCGTGCCACACCTCCCAGTGCCAGCAGGAGCAGCCAACCCACCTGCCCTGCACTGGGCACCACACTGTCCAAAGTGCCAGCAGGAAGGACACTGCTCCACCTTCCCCACTGGCCTGGCCTCCCCTACTTGCTTTCAGCTACTTTTCTGACTGGACTTTTTTTTTAAAAAGAACCAACTTAAATCACGTCTTCTCAGTGTTAGATTTCCCCTCAACCCACCCCAAACACAGCTATCAGGTCCAGGGGAGCATCTCCAACCTACCACCATCACCTGCCCACAGGGTATCAGAGACCTTGGGGTGCATCAGCCCTTGGATCAGCCCCCCAGGATGCTGGCACATTCCAGACACCCTGCACCCTGTGCCAGGACTGCCCTGTGAGGGGACTCACACGCCTGGGCCTGAGCCTCCCCACCTAGGAGCTCATTCAATCTCCTGCTCATGGCGATGCACCAGGAATTTCTGCCCAGGATAATTTTTCCCATTGCGCAGTCAAGGACAAGAAACTCTATACAATAAGCACTGAATTCAGCAACTCGGTTTCTTCCAGTCAAGAGGAAGGAAAAAAATTGTGGTTCCTTATCCAATTTACTCTCAAGGGCCTTAATCATCCTTCCCAGAATTAACAGCTTCCAAAACCTCTGTACTGGAGCACTGGAGAAGGGACAACTGAGCATGTGCATGAATGCCAAACACAAACAACAAGCCAAAAAATTAAGTGTCCTGATTTTCACGTTATTAATTATTTGTGGCTTTTGCTG